AAAAATGTAAAATCAGTTACTATTTCACAGTAACTACAGATTGCATTTCTTCTAAAATAATGAGTCAGTTAAGTTATTAAGACTTTTTGCCTATCATTTTGCTATATTTTTAACTTCGCTAATTTCAAGTTTTCATCTTCTACTGTATATAACTGAAATTAAATACACTTCCCTGATTTGTATGCCATTCTTTCAGATACTCAGATGTCTACCTTTAAATTGCTTTTATCTGCCATCTTCCTGCAAGTATAATTGTATTCAGAAAAGCTCCAAAGCTGAATTGCACAAGAAGACGTGTGAAATAATGACTTTGAAACTCAGAACAGCAATACTTAAGTTTACATAAATACAGCTGATCTAATTCTAATTTGAAATGCTATGTTTTAAGATTATGTGTTGGTTTGAGACTCATTCTACTAGCAATACTTTTAAAATGAATCTGTTCACACTCATGCAATTTGTTCCTTTTGGGTTAAAGGTCAGTAATTTCAGTTATGTGACTGCACAGTTAAAATAGTAGTAGAACTTGTGTTAACATTTTAATCTGGAAAGGAAGCTCCTTACAATTTTAAAAAACAGAAAAGTAAAACAACAGAAAGTACAACTATTCTTACCCAAGATTATCAGGGTCAAAAACACGGTTCAGATCACAGTCAATGTATCTAGTGCACTTCTTCACAGCTCTTGGGTTGGTAAGAAATGGTTTCACTTCCACTCCTGTTCTTTGAATCTCAGCTCCGTTCTCTTGCCAGTGCTTGACCAAAAACACCCCTGATAACTCATTGCCATGAGTTCCCCCGAAGATAGCAACCCGTCTTACTGGAGGTTTATCAACAACAGAAGAGGAAGTCATGCTTTTCAGCAGCTCTAAGAATTGCTGAAAGCAAAACAGAAAATAATGAAGACGTAAAACTTTTGTCTCAAAAAAAAAAGTATTATTTTTAATAGGAAATTCTTTAAGCCTGTTCAGGTCAGATGTGACTGAAAGTGAATTAACATTTGTCTAACAGTTTTTGACTCCCGTTGCAAGGCGGGGAGTTGCTAACCTGACACTCCTCCCTCTCAAGGAGCCCTCCCCTTCATTTACCATATTTAGTAATACCTCCAAGTCTGTTAATGGTACTGTTACACAGTTCAAAAGTTAACTTCCCCAGGCAATCTCTATTAATGTATGATATATAGGTAAATCTTGTACTAACGATAGTATGAAAAGACTTTTAAAATGTAAACTTCATTTACATGGAAATGCACTTAAAATATTTCTAACAGTTTTGCATCGCAAACTAGGTGTAACAAGTATACTCATGTATGTTTTATGTTACATAAACATTACAGTATACAAGGGCAGAATGACTTAAAGTGAGCAAAAACAGTAAAATATGAATCATATCTTGGCTCTGTGTCAACACATAATGCTGAAAGTTCAATTATTTTCATCTTAAAAAACAAGAACATCCGAGTTCCTCAAAGCATGTTGTTGCTTGTATGACCTTTTTTGTTTTATAATAGCTGAGGAACAGTGATTAGAAGGAACGCTAGCTGAAATTAAAGTGCAATTTATCCATGACTGACTGGCGTAGCATTCCTGGCTCTAGTTCTGTCTTGGGGTTTGCTAACACAGACCTATAACACATTGAAAAAACTTTGCCAGTGATGACCCTTCTAACTTCTGCAATCTCTTATTAAAAAGGAAACAGATAGGCCACCACAGGACAATAGTTGTGTTTCCCCCCCCCCAAAAACCTTAGACAACAACTTGACTTCTTTCATCTCTAAAGGCATTCAGATAGGCTTCTGAAACTTATGCAAAAGAGCAGCCATAACTTCCATCATGCAGATCAAAACATTTAGAATAAAAGATCTTAATAAAGGAAAATAAATTTTACTGCTGTAAATGACAGAAATATTTGCAATTAGTATCTGACACATGATATAAATATAAAAAAATGTTACATTGCAAGGGAATAAAGAATATTTATTGAACAATTCTTCTTTATTAAGATTATAATCTAGTGACAGAGTATTTGGCCAGTGCCTGGGAGAGGCTTTATAACCCAGGCTGATAGACTGTAGGTCTATGAAAAGAAAGCTAAACATAGGACTTATCTAGACAAGTTCTGCCAGGAATATATCTCCTACAAAAGTTGCTCTCTATGTTTCAGCTTATGCATACAGATTTGCTGAACCTTATAGCGAGTTAATACAGAGAGACTGTTTACTTAAACATTCAACTGTATTACTGCTGTACTTAGAAGCTGTCAGATATTTAATCATAGTAAGTAATTTATTAAACAAAGCAGTAAAGTTGTATCTTACAGCACTGGACAGTCTGTACTGTCCTTTGACCTCAGTCTGTTTAGCGGTGGTGCCAAAACAGCTATTTACACGCTGCCTGAAAAAATGACTTGCTCTCTGAATCTTGGTTTGCTGAATTTAAACACTGCAGCAGTTTGAAGAGTAAACGGCAAAATGCAAGCATGCAGTGCCAATACAATATAGTTTTATCTTTTATTGCTGGTGGTACTGTAATGGTTGTAATTCCTTGCAAAATGCTGAATGAAATACAGAGATCGTTTGTGCACTTACCTCATTTAACATGCAAGAAGTTTGTCTCCTAAGAAGAGCTTTCTTAGGAGAGATACAGTGCATTTCCAAACATGAGTTTAGGAACTAAAGCCATGGAGGCTTCTTTTATACCCTTAGAGCAAGTTAACTTCCAAACAGCTTTTAACTCCTGGTCTCCCAGGACATTACAAGCACCCACGAATTTGTGGCATAAATGCAGACACTTGAGAAGTTTTCACCTTTCTGGATTAAAGACTAGGACCAATCCCTTATTCCTGTGCTTTGCCAATACTTACACTTGCAAAAATTATGTAGGATCATATTTACTTTATTAAGACTTCAGATTGGTCTTATGTACTACCTACAAGTATCTTGCAGTGCCTCTGAAGGCTTAGAATGTGTGCTATGAGCTGAAAAACATATGCAGTAATAAAACATAAATGAAATCAAGTCTAGCTATCAAAGCCGCACAGGCATACTTAAGAAGTGTAATGTGGCTCGCCAAAGCCTTCCAAGGCTGAAGGATTACAAAAACAGGACAGGCTCCAGTCCTGCAGAGCGCTAAGATTTTACACAGGAACCAGTCAGAAGTTACACGGTTGAAAACAGCCACGCGTAAAACCCACAATAGTGGTTGAAGAGAAAAACAGCGTGAAGAATGCATATACTTTTATTTATATCCATGTTTGTGTTCACACATTTGTGGGTATTCTGCTCCTGCCCCGGGTTCTCAAAAGTGCTGAACATGCCACCACATGGGCTCGTTCCACGGGTACAGAGATAATTAATTAAATCCTTCAGAGGACCGATTTCACCGTTCCTGCGAGCTGCCCTTCTCGCCGCCCTCTCCCCAACCTGGGACCGGCAGTTTCCAACCACGCCGGGGCCGGGGCCGCTGCCGGCGGCGCCGGCCGCCCCCTCACCGACGGCCTCCCGCGGCCAAGGGCGCCTGTGCCAGCAGCGGCGGGCGCTCCGCTGCCGCCTTTGCAAGGGGAGCGGGCTCAGCCGCTTCCCGCCCTTTTCTCGCTCACTCAGGCGCGAGAGCGTGACCGTTTGGTCCGTTATTTTTGGCGGGCTTCACCTCAGCCCTGTCCTTCAGGCTCCAGCAAGGACTTCAGACTCCTTTAGCCTGTGACTGGTACTGCTACAGTGTGAAGTACTGCAGAGGCTTACCCTGGTATCTCCTGTTCTCCATTCTTAGCTTACTTTTTTCCTACAGCTTTAGCTCTGGGTATTGGTTGCTTATCTTCAAGAGAGGACAGAAAGCAAAATTATTAATACAGTCTCAAATCCTATGCAACACCAAAACTGGCTTCATAAACTGAAATGTCAAGTTTATGGGGCTTTATTTTACAAGTATGTCACTTAGTGGTGGCCATTAGGCTTCGTAGTGCTAGCAATACAGTTTAAATTGTGTAACAGCAATGAACTAGAAGCTGCTCTAATGTCACACATGTAATTGATGTATCTCACAAAAAGTGAATTGATCTATTAGTCTAGCTGTGGTAGATACTTGCACTTTGTTCTTACCAACAGCTTTAACAGCTGCATATGGTTAACTAAATGTAGAGGTAATGTCTGATATTTATACACATAAGTATGTGGTATATTGATATGCCACTAAAGGCTATATGCACCAGTAAGTAACTTTGATAGACAGCAACTAATGCTACAGAACAGTCTGTGTAGGATCCTCAATGTATACAGTAATACATAGACATTTACTCTAGAACTAGATTAATCAGAAAACAAATATGGCAAACTACCTGTACCTAATATGCTAATATATACTTTTTCTGTTTATAATACTTTGCTGATAATAATTTTTGTTTTACTTGTGAAGTATTTTATGTATGAGGAAATTGGCTAAAGGTTTTAGGTCTGTACCATAAAGTACAGAAAAGAAGTTTATTTTTTGAAGCATGATGCTATTTTTCATAGAATAGTTAAATCAGTTTTTTATTCAAAGCCATGTACCTTGCCATCACACTTTGCAGTAATGCATAAGTATGCATTTTCTATTAGTATTCTATTTTCAGGAATTAAAAAATATTCCTTGTGTTTGAATGTATATGTACTTTTAAATTCAGAAGTTAATTCAGTATTTTTACAGCACTTTTAAAAAGAGTAGAGAATACAACTTTTACTTTAAAAATGTAATAATTTGGGCCCTTAATCTGCAAAGAGCAATTGCATGTTACTTGTGTACCCATGGATCTTATAAATTCAGTAAAACTGCTCGCACATTTTAGGCTTGTGTCTGAAGTGACACATGTCACCGAGTATGCAGAGAGTTAAGAGAAACTGCCATAAACCCACATAAAATTTGGATGTGTTTACAACATGAATGAGTTTACTTTCTCTGCTTATCTAACTTCCATACAGCAAATTTGGAGCAATCCATACATTGTTGTCTATTAAGATAGAGCAAAGAAATGAAAAGGAGTCTAGCTGACACTTCAACTCGCAGCACAGCAGGTACCATCCATTCTTTTGTGCTTTACCATTCATACATCATTATGCTTATATACATATATACACACATACACACACGCAGCATTCATACAGGATATACAGTATTCAGTCCCAGACCCCCATTTCCTGAGTGGACTTGTATGGGTTTTTTGTTTTATTGCAGCACAGGGCAAGATTTTGAATGGAGTCAGGGGACAGGTCACTAAGGGAAATGTTTCATTCACGAGATTATGTGCAGGACAGAGGGCTGGGAATATAAATTCTGTGAGGCAATGGCTGGTCTGTTATGTGTTTATGAAATGTAATTCCTATGGGTGATGTAAAATAATTGTTAAGTAATTTCATTTACATATTTTAAGTGTAGATTGTGTATCCTTTTGCTATTGGTATAGTAGTATTATTTGAATTTTAATTTTAGGTTGTCTGCCTGTACCTCTGTTCAATCAGAAGAAAAGAAATAGACAACCCATCACTTCAAATCCACTTAAAAATGAGCCAGGTACCAGTTCTGGGACTCGTACTTACGACTTTTCTCCCACATCATTAGGTAAATAAGATTTATTTTTTTAATGGCTCTAAATCCAAATAAACCATAACTTTATGGTTGTATTTTATTAAATTAGACATTGTCTTTATCAAGAACTATGTGCATCCTTTATGTTTATTTCTGAAAAGTTCATTATGTAAAAAATGTCCTTCAGGAAATTTCTTTCTCCTCTATACAATTGAGTTTTTATACTTTGTGCCTAGAGGGAGTTTGACTCTTTGTGTGTTAGAGAATGAAGTAGCACCAGCATTTAAATAGAGTCTTCTGAAACTCTGACCTTTTGTTTTCAGTTGATTTCAATCAACATTCAAGTCCTGTGTTACAAGAAGAAACATTTATAAGATGTCTTTCTTGTAATTCAGAAGAGAACTTCTGTTCTTCAAATTCTGCTTGGAAAGAATGATGCAGAATTCTGCCTTTAGTACTTTCTTTATGTTTTACTTATAATAAAGTGAAAAAGTTTACTTATAGTAAAGTAAAAGTCACTGTACTAATAAGTCTAATGTCTGTTACTTAACCATTGTCTAGAGAAGCAACATACTTGTTAGAAGTTGCTTTATAATTACAGATATTAAAGGATCACATTCCCTTTTTTTTTTCTTTCTCCTTCTTGTGTGAGACTGTTTGTGGAACATTAAGCAGATAAAGAGTAGAAGCCCTAAGTAGACCTATTACCTTCCAAGCTTTTCAGTTTGTATCCATATTCAATCCTTTGTCTTTTGAGAATTAGGCTGGGGAACTGCAAACCCAGAAGTGACTGAACTACAGAAAGCAGCCAACAATGGGTACGTAAAAGCAGATTATTTGTTGCTTATTGAGTTTTATTTGGGTACTAATTGTTTCACAAACTGTGATCCATGTGTCTGTCTTACAATAAAGCTGCTACTATGTCACTGATACTTTAAACTTGTCTTTGAAAGCCGAACAGAACATCAGATGGCTCTTTCCCTTATGAAACCACCAAATGCATCAAAGTCTAATTTAGCAAATGCTGGAAAAAACTTGTATGCCTGCCAGTTGGTGGAGTCTTTAATTTTTATCCTTCCTTAACCAAAATTATTCTCATGTGAAAATATATCTTACATTTTCCATATTCTTGTAGCATTCAGAGAGATCCTTTTAATTCTCAGATCACTGTAGTCCTAATTAATTACATTGTATTTATGAGCCGAAACCCACTGAAATGAAGTATCTTTCCAGTGTACCTAATGAAGCCTATTAATTAGACCTAGTATCTGGCCTTATATCAGGCCTAAAATTCAGTCTCACCATAAAACTTGATTGAATTTTGCTGGTCTTAGATGTAATCTTTTTAAGACTCCCCTTTACTTGAAGTTTTGCCCACTTCCAAACCAAATTTATCAATAGACTCAAACAAACTTCACTAAGTGTACACTAGGTCAACTGTATATCAAAACCGAATATAATTGTGAACTCTGTGCTTTTATAAACCAAGGAAAAGCTTACAGAATCAGATGCCTAGAGCTGGCAGGAAAACTCCCAGCAATGTTATAATTGTCCTTTTTCTGTCTTCCCTTCCTCCTGTTCCTTTCCAATGGCAAGAAGAGAGTGAATGTTTCAAACAAGTGCCTTCAATGGCAAAATGGAATGGAGGTGGAAGGAATTTATAAGATGCCTTTATAAAATGAAGGGTGTTAGAAATAATAAGGTCAGCACTAGAGTTTGTTGTAAAATTACGTCTTCAGTGAAGGTGGTAGAAGAATTCGGAAATATCACTGTCAGAAGAAACTTTGCTTATTTTATTTTAGCGTTGTGGAAAAGATGTGAATCCTAGGTCAGGAAGGATCCCTTATACAGGGCAGAACAATAATTAAGCAAGCTTTTAAGGCCTATTGATTCAGCTGGATTTAAGCACAGGTGTGATCACTGCCCTGTATATGGATAAATTTAAGTGTATACTCAAGTGCTTTGAGTCTGAATATTTAACAGATGTTTTTTAAAGCTAAAAAAACAATACATAGATTGCTTTTATATACTTTAATTACATACCTGAGTATTCAGAATAGATATTGTGATACTGAACTATGTCTAACATTGTACTGCAGGGCAGAAGAGAAGGCTCCCAGGACTAAAGTTTGGAACAGAAATGAGTATACTCCTTTAAGTAACACAACAGATTCAAGATCTGATAGTGGAATTATTCGAAAGTTTGAGAGCTTTTCAAATAGTTTGAAAACTGTTCAGCAGCAAAAAAACCCTGATAACCGTAATTCATCTCAGCATATCAAAATAACAGAAACCAGCCAAACATACATATCTAAAGGACAATGGCCAGTGAAACCTAACACTGCTTCAAGAAGTCTGCAGGATCATAGTCTGGCATATAAGTTTAACCACAATATTCAGCAAAATAAAATGAATGAAAAACAATATGGTTGTATTCCAGAAGGCAAAAGTCAGGTAAACTTAATGGAGAGAGTTAATAGGAAGATACAATGAAAAAAATAGTAAAGAAAAAGAAAATTGAGGAAAGATGAGGCTTTCATCAGTCCTAGTTGCCTTAGTAAACCCTTATGTTTCTGAAAATTTAGATTTGAGATTTTCATACTATAATAACCTACAATCCTCAGCATGATCATATAAATTGGTAGGGAGTTGTTTGTATAGTCTGAACAAATACTCTAATTTTAATGTAAATGTTGGATATTTCACATAATATATAAATGTCTATGTGCCTTTTAAAATTGTGTGTGTATCTCTGACTTGACTTTTCGTCTTACTCTGAAAGGAAGTTTCATCATCTCAATTAAAAAGTAAAGAAAAAAAGAATTCTTTGCGAATCATATCTGCAGTCATTGAAAGTATGAGGCACTGGAGTCAATACGCTTATAAAACTGCACTATTATTTGAAGTTTTAGGTAAGCATGGTAGATTGTACTATAAGTGATAATAATGTTAGGACAACAGCCAAGAGAAAATGTTATTAACTGTAGGAACAATAGCTGAAATACTTAAACCCACAAAATAACTGGTGTGAGCACCATCTAATTTTCCTGCTGAGAGATCCATTCAGCTATCAAAGGGGACTAAAATAGCTACAAAATTAATAATACAGTCATCCTCCAACATTTAAGCTCTTTCTATTCTGTTTCTTTTCTTTCCTTGTTTTTAGAATGTGTTACAATAAATTTTCCTATTTAATAGGAAACTTCTGTGGAGAGGTACAGTTTTACAGTAATTTTTAATACAATTAATCTAGGAATAAATTAAAGTCTGGAGCACTTCTAAACATAGATGACTTTTAGTGTGTTTCACTTTGCATTTTAATTGACATTATCTGAGAAATGAACGTTACGGAAGACCGAAATGACTCAACTTTAAATCAAGGTGAATAAGAACATACAATGTAATGGCATCTCAGAAAACTATTATTTTGACAAGGCTGCAAGTATTTAAAGTTGATTTGCATATGAAGATCAATAAAACTTGTGCTCTGCTTAATAAGGGAATAACTTGTTTGCAGCAACAGTTATGAAAACCACATGTGGTCACTCAGTTGAGAGAGACATCATATACAATTGTACTATTCAAAGACTGTGTAGAGCCCATAATTTGTATTGGAACTTCGAGTGCTGTCAGCACAAGTTCTCACAGAAAGCTGATACTGACTTCATATATCTTAGTGCTTTTGTGTAGTAAATGTTGTCATGGTACCTTTGTGTATCATACTTAGTACTGCTCTGATGTTGACATCATGATTTATTTTTGCTAAATGGTATAGGCACACTTGATTCTGCAGTCACACCTGGAGCATATGGGGCAAAGAATTTTCTCTTGAGAGATGGAAAGGAGAGTCTGCCTTGTGTATTTTATGAAATTGTAAGTATTCTGTGTCCGTACATAACACAGACACCACTAGCTATAATCCCTTTTATGAAGCTAATAATATGTTGTTCTGATAAAACAGAAAATTACTGTGTAAAAGGAAAGCTGGATGCTTATACCATATTGTTCCCAAACTGGACTAGAGCAATAACCCAGTCACTATGTAGGCATCCTTAGACTTCTGTTTCAAAAAAAAGGTGGGTCTTTCAGTTCAGCTTGTACGTAGTTGATAACAGCAAAAAAGCTGATGTAAATTCCTTCTGCGTTTGATGTAGTCTTCAGAAACCAGACATTTTGAAAGCTTTTATGTTAGGTGATATAATTTTTTTATTTGTTTATTGTGCTTTTGATGAAGGACCGGGAGCTTCCAAGACTAATTAGAGGTCGAGTGCACAGGTGCATGGGAAATTATGACGCAAAAAGGAACATTTTCAAGTGCGTCTCTGTAAGACCAGCAACTATTCAAGAACAAAACACTTTCCAAGAATTTGTTAAAATTTCAGATGTTGAGATGACAGCATATGTAAAAACAATCAATGAAATTTAAAATGGTTGAAATGGTTGTCCGAAACTGGTTTTCACTCATCATTACCCATAAAGGCTGGACATCCTAAAGCATTTACCAAAACTAATACTGCAAATCTGATTAAATAATTGAAAATATCACTATGCTGTGTTATCCAGCAAATGTTAGTAACAATGTTTTGTTTCTATTATTACTTTTCATAGCCTAGCTTTCCTAGTTATATATGCAATAACAGGGCTTTGTTACATAGTAGATTAGATTTTACTGGAGAAATTCTGAATTAAAACGTTGAAGATTTGCAGTAGTGCAAGTGTCTTTGAAAAAGATCATCAGTACTAATTCAGATTGCCATTGCTTTTCATTATCTTAAATTTTTAGAAATTCCTTCAATACCTGTTTCAAAATGTTGGCTATATACTTCTTTTGAGGAGTATTTTGTCGAAGTTTAATAGTGAACAAGCATCAGCAAAGTTCTCTTTGGCTCTGCACGTTGCATTAAAACTGCTCTTTGGTAGAAAGTAAGAAGGTACTCTTTATTCCACTTCAGTTCCAACTAACAAGTTCCCTTTCCTTTGCTGGATTACAAGAACACATGTAAAAGCTTTTTTAGAAATGAACATAATAGATACTAGAGAAAGATTTCACAGGATGCAGCTGTATATATTAGGTATTCGTATGGTTCCTGTTGATATGTTACCTGATTCATGTTTTTTAAAAAAATAAATAATCAGTATAACACCTGTATAAGATAGCAACAGACCCTGAAGCTGTAGGAAGATTGCTCAAGGACACAGAGGAAGTTGGAAAGAAATAATTATTTGAACACAGAACTTCCTTGCCTTTGCCACAGAAACATCTTTCATGAGGGATGGACCATGTATATGTTTGTGTCTTTGCCTTCAAACATTAACTTTCATAGATTATTCCTGCTGTTTCTATTTCCTTTTCCCCTTAGCTAGTTCCCCTTCTTCAAAAGCTTTGTACCAGATCTGTTGGGAATTATAAAACAAGAGTTCTCAAGAAAATAGTGAACAGTGTGATTTTTTTTTTTTTTAATTTTATTATACAGTGTTGGCAATTGGAAATTTCACATTTAAAATAATTGAAATATTGTATCCAACAAGTCAAATACAGAAAACAGTTAATATTCTAAAAAGGAGCCAGCTAGTCAACGCAGAAACACATTAATGGAAAATACAGCTTTTAGTTACACTTAAAAAATTATATATTTAGAATAAAACTTGAACCTGGTCCAGTAAATCGTTTGACTTGTAACAGGAAAACGCTTTTACACAGTTTAACGCGCAGACAGTCTTTATTTAAAAAAGTGATCTGTCAGTGTTAGCACATGTATTTTTAGCAACACCCCCCCTAATGTTCCAGTTGAGGATCTAAAGTATATGCTTTACTAACTGTTGTAAGAATCACTTGTATTATCATCTCTGCCTTCTGTGCTAAGCTGGTTCTGAGCTTGGATGTTTCAAGGAGAGTTCCATCTATCCAGTTGTGTAGAGGTCATATACATATATTTGATTTCCTTTATATATTTTCAAATATTAAAGAAAGTTCCAAATCGAAGCATTAGCTTAACTCATAAAAGGTGCAGAATATTACAGGATGTAGAGCTTGATGATGCTCACAACAGAAGTTGAGTTTTAAGAAGTAAAGGATTTGGTACAGCAGTGTTGTAAATTGTAAGACTCCATTGTAACAGCAAATTAAAACTACAAAGGAAGCTTGAACTATGGGACCAGACCTGCAAGCATCTGTGTGTGTAATCGACATCACACAAATGTTTTAGTCCTACCAATTTCAGTTGAATGATCGATGGTTCCAGTTCTGCACATGTGAAAGTTACATTAATAAGTAATGACAGGAATAGCTCATTTGCATCTACTAGGTATGTTATGGCTGTTAATAAAAAACTAAAATAATTTTACTTCCAGTAAGTGTTTAGATCTTTGCAAAAAAAAGTTTTCTACTTTACACTAACAAATCACTTTTTCTAGTGAAACATTAAGTGAACAGTTGTAAACATTACACAAAACAGAAAAAACCCTACGTAATACAGTTTATACACATTACTCAACATTTTTCAGTTGTTGCTTTTTTTTTTTTTTAAACCATATTGATCCTGTCTTGTATAATGGTTCTAGTGTAAAGGCACAGGTTGGTTAGGAAAGAAAAGCCTGCATCTCTGTCTTTCTACTTTCGGTGATGATTTTCTTTTTACATGTTGTTTGTTATTCCTCACTTTTCTGACTCTTATATGAAAATTATCAATTTCAGCCATTCATTAACAGAAGTGTAAGACATTACTGAAAAGTACATTACTGTACAGAAGTGACTGAAATTTTACTTTAGAGGCATTCCTTCAACCTATTTTGTTAAATATTTGCAAGATTTAATTCCTTAGACACTGTGAGCACGCGCTCTCTCTCTTTTTCTCAGTGTACTTAATTCTACATTGCAATCTGTATTTTCCAAGATTAGTAATGGAACTTGCTAAGTTTATGTGCAGAATTTGGTTTTGAGTGCACGAAAATGTAACAACAGACAATTATTTTGGAAAACAATGCAATGTTCCATTGAAGTTTAGAAGGGTGAGGAATGTAAACAAGACTGCAGAAGTCTTTGAAATTTATTAAAATAACACAGTGATTGTTCTATCTGTTTGCATTTTCTTATACATCCTCAACATGTCTCTGTCTGTCCCTTCATGTACACTTTCCATTAAAAAAAAAATAAATTCAGGAATCAGTGGGACTCAGCTAAGTGAAGAATAATAAATTTGATCACTTGGTTTGTGCCAAAATACAAAACTAAGAAGTACAGCTCTGAATTAAATATAATCTACATGATTATTTCTTTCTTAATAAATAATAGAAAATAAAAGATGATAATAGAATTAGAATTCAATTTTTATTTTAAATGAAAAACAACAGTGGGGTGAGATTCAAACCCAATGTTTCTTTTGCTTTAAGGCAATCAAGTGCACTTACTTCAATGCTTGATAGTAATGAATTCAGTGCTATTGTGGAAATCAGACTTCACAAATTTCACATAGAAACCCATGAAATATGGCCATTTGCTAGTTCTGACACAGCATCAGATTCTTTTTATTTGTGTTCAGTAGCATTTCACTTTTTTTTTTTAACACAATAATGGGCTCTTAATAGTAATGGAAATATTAGAATCTAGTTCGTTCTGGCTTGTATTATCACTACATACAAGGGCCATCGGGCACATACATTTGTGTAAACAGAGATTTTTCTTTTTGGCCTTAAAAAACAAACAACAAACCCCCAAATCTACAGTTGTAATAGTTCAAATAATTTTGCAAAAATCCACCTAAAATTATCATTTAAGAAATACCAAAACCAAATTCTTAGCATTTTTTTTCCTGTTGTTAAACTATTAAATGATCATGAAGCCTTTGGAAGTTAGATCGATCTCTCTTGGAAAAAAAGTAATCTAAATTTTATGCAAGTCTTCCTGAAGATGACTCTAAATCTTGAAGATTAGCTCAGTATTAAAAAGTGTGCCGACAACTTACAATATGCAGGTACTACTAATACATATAGATTAAAAAGAAACTTTTTTCTTGTATACAATTCTTTTTAGATATGAAGCTTAACTTTAGGCCGTGGCTACTAGTAGGTGCTTTTTTGACTAATCAAAATAATTGTAACAAAATATCATTATTGATTTTAAAATTATTGGGTTCATAAAAGTTTTGACATCTAATAATATATAAAAAGTGAATTGAAGCTTTTAGAAGACTTACGATTTTGAGACACAAAAGAAACTGGGAGGTAGACAGATGTTTTGAGGATAAACAGATTTTTTTTTTTTGTCTAAGGCATTATGCCACTACATGTTTAGAGCAGTATAAAGGCTGCTGATTGATCTTATTTCAATTCCAGAGTGTTTGCTGCTCATACTTACGGAAGACTATCAATGCACTTTCGGTCTTTGTGAATCTGACCTTCTCTTCCCCATCTCCTTTTTTCTCTTTAGCAATACAGCTAAATGGAAGTGCTATAATAATTTCTGCCCATTGCCTGTAGACAGGAATGTTCTGTTCTGAAACAGTAATAAAATACTATAAAATAGTAGGTATTGGAGTTGGAGATATGTGCTCTTTTGGTGCATATTTTGCAAAGAATGGTAAAAAGACAGACAACATGACCCCAACAATTGCCAGCATATAACCCCATCCAATCTGGCAGTCTCCTGCATAGTAGATGTCTGAATTCTCACAGAATCTCTTCACAGTAGCAGAGTTGAAACCAAAAGGATAAACCAAAAGCCCAGAAGCCATTATGAACACTAGAGAGGAGAAAAAGAAACACAATTATTATCGAACACTTAATTCCTTTGAAAAAAATTCCTTCTTTTAGAAAGCAATGGAAAAAGTCATAGCTTAAAACTTATGATTGTCAGATTATCTTCCTTTTCATAATTACCTCTTATGGACAGCAGTGTCATAACATGGTAGCAAGTTGGCATTGGGATTTTTTTCATGAGAGCTCTTGCCCATTATGTCACTTCAGAAACGTTGTAATCCAAATTATGTAGCCATTTAAAAAGTAAGATGATTCAGACACAATGGAATCCAGAGGAGAAGAATTCCTAAGTTTGCAGATTCCAAACCAACTTGATTTTCTTCTCAATAGCATTTTTGTACTTGAGACAAAAAATTACTGTGTTCTGCCAAATAAAAACCTTCAATGAAAGAGTGTAAATGTAGTTTTTTAGATTCTGCTGATTAGGTTCTGATAATGTAAGCACTTTCTCATTATTCTTATTATTACAAACCCAAATTTTTAAAAAAAATCCTTCATTTGACCCAAAGATTATGAGATGAAAAACAACACAATCTGTCTTCTTTTTATTTAGCTTTTAGCATTGGAGTCTTTGAGAATATTTTTTTTAATTCTCCCTGTAAACTTAAGGATTAGAAAAATTTTCAACCTAAGGTTGAGACCTAAATTAGTAAGACCTGAAGTTCCCATAGTACCTAATATTGACAGCTTGGGCTCTAAAACCACAAAACAAATATAACAGGATGTGTTGTAGAAATCTAAAGGTTCAGTATGTAAAGGCACAGAGTTAAAGTAGCAGGCAATCTCTCCCAGTGAGTTGTCTTTTACTCCTTCTACTCCAAATACACTAGCAGATTAATCCAGCGCATAATGAAGAAATATGTCTAAAATACAAGCAAAGCTTAAGCCACCTCTTGATGGTGGAAAGCCAGACTTGCCTCCTGCAATTATGCTGTCTGTATTATCTGTTAGCTTTTAATAGAACTTCACAGATTTTACAGTCTTTAATGAATACATGTTATATTTAAATATCGTGGCTTATGCAATTAATTTAATGAACAGCAGAACCACTTTTCCAGCTTTGAAAATAAGACTGCCCAAGGTATAAATCATGACTATGATAAAGATGCATTAAAATACTCCAGGTACAGTTCTCGGATACTGTTTCTGCCCACCTTGGAAGCCAAGAGAGGCTGAGCTAGGCTGATGCGAAGGGTTATGCCCTCCCAGCCATCGTGTATACCCCTTTTTTGAGAGAACATCAAGAAACCATTTTTCTAGCCTTTCTGCTAATGAAAAACTACTGTATTAAAATCTATGCTGTATTTTAAAAGACTTTATTTTAAGTACCAAAAAGATAGCACAAAGCAGTCCCTTTTCCTACCTTCTCATTCTTCCAGGATAGTGTTTTGTTCAAATTCAGAGGGTGGATTGTTAGTGACTCAAGAATAGTGGTAATCAGCATTAACTGTTATGTTTGAGGTGATAGATAATTCATAACCAGCAAACATTGAATGAAACATTAAGATTATAAAACAAACACTACGTGCCATTCTCTGTATTTGTAATTGCCTTTCAGGTAGGGCATGTGCATATTACTCCAATTATAATATTGCAGAGGCTTAATCTTAAAAGTATCCAGTAAAAAAGGGCAGTCACTCATTAATCTTATTTAATTAAAAAAAACTTTAATAAGCTTGAGGGCTAGATGAAATCAAAAAGTTGAACACAGCCTGTGAAGTCCCTGAATAATTTGAATTGAAACTTTCCTTCTAGTCTAAATGGAACCGCTGAGTTAATCCCTTGTAAAAAACAATAAAAAACCAAGAAAATGGAAATTAAAAGGAGAGAAACTGGAACAGAAGCAATCTTGCCAGCCTGTTTCCCTCTAGGGTAACTGATGTATGGGTACAAAGATAAACTGCCTGCCAGTAGGCGGAGCTTTCTGAGAGCAAGGTGCTTTTAACTGCCCTTGCTCCCACAACCACTCTCCTTTCCTTTCAGCCTTTATGAATGATAAGTTTTCAGTGGTTCCCAAGGAAAGGACACTGTGGCCTTCTTCCCTTCTTCCCAGGCTCAAGGTGTGCAAAGGTGATGCTGCAGGAGCCAGTTAAGGGAAAGGTCCTCCCCAGCACAGGCAACATCCTGAGCGTGTCTCGCCCTCCCTGATATTCAACTGGCTGCACCTGCTGTGGGTGCCCAGGGCAGGAGGGAGCTCACAAAGCTCAGCACTGAGTTCTTAGCAGCTGTGCTTGTGCATTTAGGCTCCAACATTAAACAAATATACAGAAGCTGAAGCTAGTTACAAAGAAGTAAGTTGTGTTTATGCAGATCTCCCTTAACTACACACATATGACACCACTACAAACAATACAAAATGAAAATACAATAAAAATGAAGTTAAACTAGACACACACACGTACATCTCATCTAGCAAAGGTCTCTGAGCTTTCCCAAAAGAAGAGAAAGAGCCAAGGGCCAGCACGCTTCCCTTGTTCAGTAGCATAGCCTGAAAGTTGTGTGACTCTCTTGCATGCCCAGGAAAATTCCCTGAGCACTACTTCTGTAGGCAGAAACAGGGGAAGCAACCTTGGAGAACAACCAGAAAAAAAGGTGACTTTTCCTACTGCTGTGGTAAACTTTGAGAGTGTTAAACTGCTAAGCTGATGATCAACAAACTATATCATGTTAATCCATAGATGCATGTAGGTTGTAGTGTTCACTCGTGGGCTAATACAGCTAGGAAGTGGAACAATGTGCTACCTAAGAGACTGGGATGTAAAGTGGATACACAGCATAGCCCCAGTCAAAACCCAGGCTGCTCGACTGCATGAAGAATCTTGAAATAGCGCCATGGTACAAAACCTTCTGTAAAATGTTGGGCTCATTTGCAAAGGAAAGCAAACCAGTTTTAAGACAAACAGCAATTGCTGTAAGCAAGATGCAGGTCTAAAATTAAAATTTCAGTTTCCTCATCTTTTCAAAGCCAAAATAGTCCATGCATCTCATTTGGTGAAAGAAAACATTATGCAGAATTGGAAGCAATCTTTTTATCATAAAATCCCTTTAAACTTTGCTCACTGTTAGAATTTGCTGGTTTTCTAACACTATCTTCATGTATCTGTCCATATATATGGGGTTTTTTTGATTGGGTTACACAGAATTATTTTGAAGGATGTGCTTTACATTGACACTAGTGTTTTGATTACCGCTTGGTGCTGATGTTGTATGGTGTGATTTAATGGAAGAAGCTTTTTTTTTTGAAGGCTAGAAATAACCTGTCACAGTCGAATGTAATGTGTTCACATATCAAACAGGCTGAAAAGTTACCCATGGTTTCATATCCTCAGGCATGTCATAGAATGACCTCATTATTCTCATTTAGGTGCCCTCTTTCTTACAAAAGCTCAAAATATTGAATAGCCTGTTATTATCAGTAGAAGCCAAGCTTTCAGACATGGTGCTAATGACTGCTTAATAGTGCTGTCTATCAGCAGTGCAGTTAGCTGGGAGAGCACACAAAGAAACAGTGGGGCTCCATTTAGGCTCCTCATATAACACTTATGCCTCTGCGCAGTTTTCCAACAATAAACATCACTTTAAAATGTGTCAGAATACAGTAGTGAGTGCACCTCACCATTATGTGTAGTGTAATCCTACTGTCATACAAGATGATGGGAAGGCTACACAATGTATTTGTGTCTGTTCTATAGCATGAAGCATATTGAGTATAGAGGGGACTTGCTGGTAAAATGGGTCGTTGGAGTTCTTTTTGTAACATGGCTTGGCTGATCATTTGATACATCTCCCATCAGCTATTGGGTCTTGTTAAAAACACGCCTTTTTTTTGCTTTAATATCTGACACATGGTGTTTGTTATTGCTAGGTCCTTACCACCTGGGTTCTCACCAGTAAGTCACAGCTACTACTGACTGCAAGGAGGTTTAAAGTCAAGTCTGTGCACATTGGTTCAACTGTAAGTCACTTTTTATTTCTACTTTCTAATCTTCTGCCCTCCCAAACAGTTACAGTCTCACCCTGTTCTCTCTCATCCTCTTTACTTCACTGGTGTCCTACAGCCAGACAGTAAATGGCAGTTTCTCCTCTGAAGGGTTTGCTAGCCAAGGCAGGACCCCTGCACTGTGCTCTTGCTCCCTGTGCAGGCCCAAGGCTTAAAAAATATGGTTTACCTATTTTTTTCAAAAAAAGTAGTTTCCTGAATTTGTCGATTTCTAAATAAAATAACTTTTATTAACAGGAATAAGATACTATTAGAATGGAGGACACTTCTTTTTAGGGAAAACAGGGCATTATCTAGAAAAAGTCATAAATTGTTGGTGATAATGCTGAATCAATGACACTTCTACTCAGGGAAAATAGTATTTTCTGCTATTTTAAAATCTAATAAACTATAACTCCTTTTCATTGCAATGGTGCATTCATTTCATTAAGCTCCTGAAATACGCTTTAATTATTTAAATCTATCACAATACCATTTTCAAGTTTATTTTAAACCAGACAAACCAAAGTAATGCAGTTCTTTAGAGTGTGTGTAGAGGGCACCAATGTACAACTCTCTTAAATACCATACACAAAAAATGGCTATTTCCATTTCCACTTCTTTTGGCAAGACTGGTGGAGTTTTCAAAATGTGAAACACAATAATTGAATAGTTTTCTCTATTGTGAAGCAGGAACGTGAAAACTTGGCTAAGCTTATGTGTATCCTTCCATACTAATGCTGAAATGGATAGAAATCCAGAGGTGGACCACAAACATAGAGATCAGAAAAAGCTATTTTATTTTACTGTATTTGTTAATATGTTTAGATGATGTGTAGTAGTAATACTGATCACCAGTAATAAAATATGCTGTGTGCATGAATTATCTTCCTGAAATTACCTGCTGTAAGAAGATTAGTTTTTCTTAGAAGTTTAATGTGCTTATGTTAGGAGTATATTATATTCCTGATACTTGTGACAATGACGGATTAATTGCAAGATTG